CTAGTATTCGTCATTCAAAAATTTCTGATAACGCAAGCATACATCTGGTCACCTCGAAGTGCAAACTCTTCATTTCCATGTAATGTAGTTCATACTGTGGGAAGGCTTTATTACGTGATTATAACATATCTTGTTTATTGTTTCTTATGAGTGAGACAAAAAGTAGTTTATGACCGAAGCTTGACTACAGGAAAATTTATCAATTTTATAAGTTGGGGAATATTTGCGATGCTTTCTTTACAGTTGATTATACTTATACATATTTTTATTATATTTGATCGACAAGTGAACACATCACAAGGGTGTGTTATAATTAAAAGCAAAATTAGACACTTTTATCCTATCATGTACATTCCGATGTTCTTAGCTAATTGCGGCCTTCTTGGCTTGTTCATCTACCCGGTTGTGAACGATTCCATAGAATACAAATCAAGGAACCAAGGCTCAAAATGGATCATGCTTTTATGCAATGCAGGAACAGGAACTTCGAAACCTGGTAAAATACAAAAATCAATTCGGCGTATACTGACCTGGACATGTGTTGCTGTTATCACGGACATCATGTTTCTTGTGGTAATGACCATCTTAATTCCAAAACACTTTCCTTCCTCAATTCGCACGCCAGCAGTAGATACGATGCTTTTTGTCAATGCCATTTGCATATTCATGACATTCAAAGATAGATGGCAAATATTGACATCTTTCCTCCCGAAGAAACAAAACAAGATTACTGACATCCCTACCAAGTTAGCTTCTTTACCGCAGGCAAGGGGCTTTGTGGCGGAAACAAACAAACACGTTGGTTCGTGATGTGAGGAAAGCGCATAAAGCAGCGGTTCCCAAAGGATTTCGAAAATTTTATTACTTATTATAAATGTTTTATTGTTTTTCGTATTTTAAATGTGTATATGAATCAATCAATTAATTTCATCTTTTATGTCATTTACCGTTTGTTAAGTAGTGTCCGCCTCTATTGTTACGTAACATATACACTACTTGCTGCAATGTCGTGAGCTGCAGTGTATTGACCTGTTGAACCGAGTATGGCGGGCATGAATGATTTTTTCAGCATTTCAAAAAAAAATCAGGCAGAGATATAGAAGAAGCTTTGACTTTTTGCGTTTAAATCTTAAGCTTACATGTTTACAAATATTTAAATGCATGAAGTACACATTAACGATCACAAAATTGAGTTTTATTTAAAGGCAGCGTTTTTTTAGTGTAAGTGCGCCGTGAGTTTCTTTCACTGATAATTTGGCGAGGCATGAACAAAACGTTTCGAAAAATCTGGCATAAAATTTTTGTTATTATGCTGTTGGACACGAAATGTACATATTGATCGTTTTGTTATCATTATTATTAATATTGTCTTATTGGTATTTTTCTTCTTATCGTTATGAAAAATCGCTTTTCCCGTAATTACTGGACCAATTGCTTTGAAATTTTCAGTGATTAAAGAAAACTATTACTTTTTCGTGTTCATATATTTGAGTAGAGCTCCCTTGTTTCTGTAACCATAACCAATCAGTAATAACTAAAAAATGACGTAACAATTATAATTTGTGTAGCCACTTCTGTCGCTCAGACAAACAATCAAACGAGGCTATGAACAATGCCTCATTTTCATATCGTGTTATTTGTCAGTTTCAGTTGTGTTTCTGAAAAATATTTGTATATTAAATTACTTAATTGTCATCATGTCTTTTGAATAGCTTTAGTTTAGTTTTCTTTATTATTATTCCTATAGCCACTTTAAATACTGCGAACAAGTTCCTCGAGTTTTCGAAATGGTTTATCAGGATTCCGCTCCACCAAAAGCTGGATAATATATATTGCCCGATGTGAAAGTGGCAAAATAATTCGGAGACTTTCAGGGACATTTTTTCTATGTTCTTAACTCATTCAGTTTTCTCATACCGATGCAGAGTATAAAATGCCACGGCTCCGCATAAGCGTCTCGTACCATTTAAAGTCTTTCAGCACATCGCCTTCATGGTGTTTCCCTAACATTGTGTTTTGCATAAGTCCTCCAAACCGCCGAATAATCTATATATGTATATACAGGGAGTCCTCGACTTACGACGTTGTTCCGTTCTCGAGACGCAGTGTAACCCGAATTTTAGTGTAAGTCAAAACATTATACTGTACAGTACATAAATTACTATATACATATCGTACTGTATTGTTAAGTATGGTACTGTAATAAAATGTTCAAATAATGCAAAAAAGTACTTTATTAAAAAAACAGAAAACAATTCCATATTAAATGAATAAAAGCAAATACTGTACAGTACAATAATATGTTTTATGGAGTGCGTTCGTAACCTCGAAACAGCGCAAGTCGCGACCGTCGTAACATGAGCCCTGTAATATTGATATAGACACACTCAAACCAGTCTGTTTGCATCTAGTTTTGGGACGTTCTCGTGCCGTTACGACACTTTTCAAAGAGCAAGGCTTTCTGGTTTAAGTAGGGTTTACTAAAACATATATTTCACATCTGGACGCTACTGGAAAATAAGCCCATGAATATATAACAGTTGAGTAATTGAATATTCCCATCTGTGCCAGTTTATGATAAATGAATAACTGGGTCATATTGTACACAATTGAACACGACTGAAAGCATGTTTTGTATATGCGATGTCTATGTTTAGGAACAAATAGGAAATTTAATATACTTTCAAATAGATTCTGCGGTAATTTTTGCTAAACGTATAAGATGTTTCAGAGCATGGAAAATGCAAAGTTGAGACTGACGGTAACTCGCATTTTTGCATTGGTGGCAGGGGCTTTGTGAAACCACGTGCCGCTTACATTTACTCATAGCTTTTCTAGCCTACATAATCAATCGGCAAAAATGTGAATTCCATAAAGCGGAAGTTCTTGTAATATGCCGAATCAAGGAGGTTAGTCAGACGATTTATTTATTAAAAAGAACTTTACCTAAAGCGAGGTCACGCGCACTCAGTCGAAAACGAAGGCGACTGATCACTGAACAAAGTTACGGTTGACCACTGAAGTGACAAGAGCTACGGAGGCAATAGCGAATTATTATCAGAGAATTTGCTTGAAGCAAGGTCGCACGCATTCACTCGGGAATAAAGGAGACTGATCTCCGAGCAAAGTTACGGGTGACCACTGAATTTCTGACACAACGCGAAATCATAGCGTGAAATCAGTCCTTGGTAAATGCCACCTGCCGCAAGACATTAAACATTCCGGTCTATACAATCTGCAATTTTTAGTATGATTGGTATAATGACTATATAAATTGGGAAGAGTTTTCAGTCAACAGAGTTTGACCGCTGAAAACTTTTCGGGGAAACAATTTTCCTACATTTCCTCGCAGGAAAAGTTTGCAGTCATATGTAGAATTCTTTTTTAATTCGGTCTAACAGGTTTAGTCAGTCTACGGTTCAAACAAGACAATAATACTCCATGCATTAACGTAACAGTGATTTGTACAAGTTGCGCCCTCACGAAACAAATATACAACTTTCATGAAAACGTTTCGCGTCACAGTCGTTATGGTCAGGATGGCCATGAGATTGCGCACTAAGGTAAATATCAAAATTCCAAAGACACAAAACCCTTGGAATCGTTCGATCTTTTCGTCTTCTCTGATTCATGGCGATAACATTCTAAAAGTAGATTGAGTCACCTATTGTCTTGTCTTACAAATTTCCTTCTACGAACAGTTTTGTATACTTCATCCTGTTGCCACACTCACCCACCGCCTTCCCTTGCACAAATGTCTGTATAATAATGGATCATATTATACATATTTGATTTAAACTTCTCCCATTTCTGCTTGGAATTTTTCAATCATTTCTTCAACAAGAGCTTCACTGAAATAATTTTTCCAATCACCAACATCGCCATTACGGAACAAATTCAGTTTTCCTACAATAATAATTGTGTCACAGTGTTCCCCAAAGTGGGGTCCACGGAAAGCACTTTCGGTGGTCCGCGAAGGAATTCTGCTATATGACTCATAGTTTAATACTACAAAAATTAGCTGCCCACATTTGCAAATACACATTTTGTCTTCGTTTGTTGCTTCCGTAATCACTACTGGGTACACTGATTCCCCTCTTTTTGCTTCCCATTGTGATGTCACAGAGGTATGAGCCTGTGCTATCACACAGAGACAGAGAGTTCAATTGCTACCATTACAAGTCAACTAACTATAGCGGTGTAGCCGACGCTGCCCCTTTCCACGTTTGTTGGTATAGGAGGGAGTTACAGTAGGCAGTTTGTAATGTTATGCCAGTACGATTCTAAATCCCGTTTTACGCTTACATATTGAAAGATAGAGTTAGGTGAGTAGAGCGTAGCCAGAGGGGCACTAAGTTTTAGTTTTTTTTAGCTATCAACATTAATTGACGGTAGGCCTATATTTTATGTTTTCAGCTTTTCAATATTAATTTCAAGATGCCTGCTGAAAGAAATTGAGATATGACGAATTTTATGTTAAGTTAGAGTTTATTGTGATAAACGCAGGTGGAGAAGAGATGTTTTTTGTTTACTGGACAGATCATCGGTTTTTTGTTGTGAATGTTTTGTTTTAGTGCACAAGGCTGGGAATCATTAAAATATTTTAAGGGGTTCACCATGGATTTTTTTTTCAAATTGTAAACCACTGGGTTTATACCGTAGTTTTAAATCCGAAAACACGGGTATGAGACGCGAATACTGTAACAAGATAGATGAGACTGACATATGGATAATACAAAATAACCGCAGGCCTTTCCGAGTATTTGTCTTGTGTATTGTAATTTTGTAACATTTTTTTCAAGTACAATCATACTCATGTGGGAGAAGTTGCATCTGCGATCAATTAAATAAATAGGCCTGGGAGAATGTGGTAAATTGCATCTGCTTTTGGTGAGGATTACGAAGTTGTTAAAAGTGTAATCATATGATTACAAGTGTTGCCACACTACTTGTCATATGTGTGCATCGCATTATTTACTTGCTTTGTCGCAGTGATGAGCGTTGCTTTACACTACAGTCTACCTACTTTGTTGAATTGTTCTTTTATCTTGGTTAGATAGTAGTTAATTTAAAGTCAATCAGTACAACTGGCTATGAAGAAAATGGCGTAGGTCGCTGCAGTACGCGAAAGGTATTATAGTATGTATATACAAACAAAATTTTGACGCAATGCCTCTTACTTTGTTTATAATGCAATTTCAGATTCATATCTTCAAACCACCCATTCAGTTAACGGATTAGGACAGTTATTCGAATATAGTTAGTTGCACTTCAGTATAGCAACAAACGAATAACAATCTACTTATTTGTCATCTTTGGGTACTGCATGTAGAAGACGCTGAATCATTCGAAGTGAAATAGGTACAGTTATTCGACCGACTGCTCCGAACTACAAAGCAACTCTTGGACCTCATCACCTTTTCGCCACAGCTCGACATAATCCCCGAACATATAGATAAGAATGAAAAAGATCACCTTCAATTTTCAACCACACGTCCACACAAGTTATAAAGCCAACCAATGAAGGTTCTTTCACATGGGATGTCTCACTCACCCTAATTTTTGCGCCAGATGATCCACAGAATCTTTCAATTGCATTTTGTGATGTTTTTGTCGTCCCAAACAGCAGGGCTTGCTCGTCCCGGAGTATTTGAATCTTTAAATTCTGATGACATTCTCCTAATTTCAGTATATTGGACTTCATTTTCACCTTCTTTTCATCTTAATTGATCTTTCATTTTGATAAAGCACTGACTGACTGCTGCATTTTGTCCAGAAAATGCTTTTTTGGCAATGTTTCATGAGTGCTACAACTCACAGAATTTACGTTCCCTTGCGATTGTCTGGCCAGTGTCACCAGACATATATTCCGGGGCGTGCGCCCCATACTGCAGTACTGGAACATCCGCACTTTGTTCATTTCTTGCACTTCCGAGGGCACTCCCTAATGACAAATTCGCACTTCGTTTTTCATATCTCAAACCTCCAGGGGCACTCCCTTGTGTTGTGACACATTTACGCGTTGTTCATATTTTGAATATCCTTATACGTAACGAGAATATGGCGGATGACTTTTGCAGAAATTGCGTCCGTGCTTATCGGAGTTCTTGTGACCGAAGAGCCTTTGTGGAGGTTTTTCACCTCGATTTCGACAGTAGCCCAGAAGTTCGACAGTAGCAATTCTTCCCTCTCTCATTGAAGTTAACATCCAGAGTGCGAAGATGCGGGAAGAGATAGTTTTGGTGATAGTTAACCCTTTTTTTACTATACGGCATGCTCTTTTCTGGAATTTTGGTTCATGCTCGGTTCCTCCTTTATGCAATATAAAACAAGACGCATGGACCATTTCATAAATCAAAACTTTGAAGAGCTTATCGCAGACTTGATAAAAACAGTTATAAAGTCCTTACGAGTGATTGAAGCGGATGACAGAGTACACCTAAAAGGGGCATTGGGAACGCAAATGACAATGCTGTTGCCAATGGGGAAAGGAAAACCCTGAAGAACGTCACGTAAAGAGTTATACATCACAATGAATTTTTCCGTATCACGTCGTTCTCTGATAGATTCTTTTCTGAAAATGCTGCTTAGGACCTCGAAGTGTTTCCGCGTAGATTCACATCGCGTGTCCCTGTATTTTCCCGTGCTCCCATGGAGCGCTGGTGAGACAATTTCTATGAAACCTCGCTCCGCATTTATGCATTTTACTCCCATCGCCAGGCAGTAAACGTCACAAAACCAAGCAAAAGTTGTGATTTCAGTTCCTTCGGTTACAGTACTGCAGTGACTGTATTAGCCACCCCTAATTCGACACTCATCGACGTAATCTTACGTAAAATAGATAGGTGATAATACAAAAGGATAAGACTTCTTATTTAAATAACACGATAATAGATCCAGTAATATTGACGTTTCCTGAGCCTTAGGCTGATGCTTTTCACATTCAACTCTTATGCATGTAGCCAATTTATTTATGCCTGCGTAATTAGCCTGTGTCTTCAGTTTCTTAAACAGAAAACACTGTATGAGTGCATTGATACACACTGTATGACTTCAATATACAATGGCCAATTTGCTATTAAATGATGCTTGATAGCCCAATTTTCTCCTACTCTTTCCAAAATATTCACGCCTGTTTATGGTCGCAAAGTAATTTGTGGGTACTCCCGAAGTATGTGAACCAAGATGGCGGACACCGGAACGTAGTATGTGTACCAGGTCGGGCCATAATTTCAGGTACAAATACTATGGAAGTCACTCGGCTAATCCCCGAACTTGTAATTGAACTAAAATGAAGGGAAATTGAAATAAAATTATGGTCTATGGTCTTTTCTCGTTTCAGCGCCCGCAAAAGTGTTGTCCTGCTACTGTAACACCCGCACTTTATTATTAATTTCTTGAACTTCCGGAGAGCACTACCTAATGACACATTCACGCTCTGTTCATTTTACAAACTTCCAGGGGCACTCATTGGTGGCACATTCACGCTTTGTTCACTTCTTGTACATCTTTGTACTTTGGAGGGGCATGGACTTGCAGAAACTTGCCTCTGCGCTAATCGGACATCCTGTGGCTGAAGATCCCTTTTAGCTCGGTGTTCCAAAAGTTTTTTGAGAGGTTTGATAGCAGCGATTTTTTTCAGCCATGTCAGGACCATATGATATCTTTGTTTAATCATCCCATTCATGTCTTTGATATTTATATTCACAATCTTCAATCTCAGCTTTTGTTAACACAAATTTTATTTTTTTATATAAATTGAGGCCATTCCACTCACTTTTTACAGCTTCGTAAATCCGAAATGACTCCTTTCGATTTGGTGATGTTGCTTTGTTGACTGCTCCGGACTATAATTATTCACCACAGCGCTTGCACTTTCGCCTTCCACATCTATAGTAATATCACTAAACAAAGACGAAACGGCATGCTGATTTACTCCAGAATTGAAATTGTTTTTGATACCTGTTTCATTATTCCCTTTCACATACATTTTAGGTGAGGAAAACAACCGTTGTGATGAGTTGTTATCACATGTTTCAGTCATATATTTCCACTAATAAACATGTATTTACAACAACTGACAATGAAGTTCAATCAAGATACAAACAATATCTATAGATAACCTTGGATGGCTTCATATTAATTTTGTCCACCTCTTCGACTGATATCCTAACCATCCCTTTCTGACTAGAGGAGGAGGTGGATTATTGAATTGAACTTGTGTCGTTGCTAGAAGTCAACAAAGGGTCGGGTCCGGGATACTCGTATCCGAATCAACTCTTTTCCTAGCAGATGAAGCGGTTACACCTTAGGCTTGCAGCAGTCGATTTTGGTTTGAAATGACTTGTGTCATGGTTAGAAGTCGTAGAGGTTGAGGTCAGTGGAATAACTACGTGAAACTCTGCAGAGAATACAGATTCTGCAAACATAAAAATATTTGTCAGCTCCAATTTTAATGAGACACTGGTAAAATTTATTTTTCATAAAATACTGATAACTTATATATGCAGAAGTTTCACTGATGTACTGTATGATAAGAAATGTAATCAAATCTATTTGCCGGACTGGTATTTTACTGAATAGTGAATCTGTTGGTACATGTTTAAAAAGGTTTATTATTGTGTATTTTGCTTTGAAAGTGACAAAGCTTTGTTTTTAATTTTGGTCGGCACGCGAGAGAATTTTTGTCGTTAAATTTAGCCGATTTTGGCACGCGAGCCGAAATAGGTTGCCCACCCCTGGTCTAGGATGAGATTCCAGCAAACAGCTAAAAAGGGGACCTATGAGGCTATGACGTCGTACATATGAATATATGGGTCTCCATGTTATTTGTATTCGCGGGTATGAAAACAAGTGGGACAAGATTTGATTTCTACCTACAAAGAATATATAAGAAATGTATGTATTATTCAAGCCCAATTGGAAATGGAATAATGCAATTAGTCAAGATTACGCTTCAGCATCTCCAAATATAGCACACCAATTCAAGTTGAAAATAACTTCATTGCTTTTTCATCACTTCCCCGTTTTAAGTATTCACCTTTAAAGACCTTTAAAGTCTTTTTGATAACATTTCCATAAAAAAGTTTTGTCCCATTTTTAACTCCATCAGTGTCATGTAATGTTAGTTGATCAATAGCCCTTTCCAGATAATCAAAATTTGTTCGACAAAACATATCAATAATTTTGGGCTCTGTTGAACAATTTGACAGTTTTTTGAACTTTATGTACAGTGATGCTAAACAGAGCATGCTCACGTTTTTCAATAAATTCCTCCCAAATGTTAGAATTGATGCATGACTTTTGCACAAATTTTCTTCATCGTCATTCTGAAACCGGGCTAGAATATCGAAAAATTCATGATTTGTGTCTCCTTCATGCATAATGAGTATAGAGGCAGGTATACCACTCTTTTTCTTTCAAGAATTTCATCTTTGAACAATTATTTACATGTCTTGCAAAGTAACTCCTGTCAATAAATGCATGACACGGAGAACATAAACGGGACAAATCAGCTTGACATTGTTTTGGGCGCCTTTCAACTTCTATGGGTTCGTCTTCTTTTATCATTTTTAAATTATGCTCATATATGCCCTCCTTCCGCAGAAGATCAAATTTCATCATTTTTTTTGCCGTCCAGTCCCAAAGCCTCTTTCACCACAGCTTCCTGTCCATGCACTGTTTCTAGATGCCGTTTCAATTTAAATAGCATTTTGCCACAATATAAACACGAACATTTTGGCTTGCTTAAGCTGTTTTTATTTTTATCCAGTTCTTTTTCACTTTCATCGTTTTGCGAATGGTATCCACCAGTTGAATGCAATTCAGACAGTGGCATAGTTTGTAACTCACTATCAGAGTCCGCTGATCAACAAGGAACATCACTGTCAGTCTCAACTTTGCATTTTCCATGCTCTGAAGACATCTCATACGTATAGCGAAAATTACCGCAGAATCCTTTTGAAAGTATATATTCGTTTCTAAACATAGACATCGCATATACAAAACATGCTTTCAGTCTTGTTCAATTGTGTACAATATTACCCAGTTATTAATTTATCATAAACTGGTGCAGATGGGAATATTCTATTACTTAACTGTTATATATTCATGGGCTTATTTTCCAGTAGCGTCCAGATGTGAAATATATGTTTCAGTAAACCCTACTTAAACCAGATAGCCTTGCTCGTCGAAAAGTGTCGTAACGTTACCAGAACGTCCCAAAACTAGATGCAAACAGGCTGGTTTGAGTGTGCCTATATCAATATTACTCAGTTTAGGCAAAACCAAAATCTGCCTAAGTCCAATGGACTTATGCCAGTGCTTCAGGTCGATGGGGTTAGGGTCAGTGATACCTCATCGAGCAAACTCCGCAGACTTTTAATATTTTGCAAATACAAAAAGATTTGTCGGCAGTCATGCAAGATAAATGGTTGTCTGATATTTCCTAGGCCAAGAGTCTGTATGAAGTCGTATATATATACATATATATATATAGATTATTCGGCGGTTTGGGGGACTCATGCAAAACACGATGTTAGGGAAACACCATGAAGGCGATGTGCTGAAAAACTTTAAATGGTACGAGACGCTTATACGGAGCGTGGCATTTTATACTCTGCATCGGTATGAGAAAACTGAATGGTTTAGACTTTAGAACATAGAAAAAATGTCCCCTCAAAAAGTCTCCGAATTATTTTGCCACTTTTACATCGGACAATATATATTTATATATTTTCCACTTTTTTGGTGGAGCGGGATCCT